TGTTATATATATATATATATATATATATATATATATATATATATAATAATTACAATTCTAAAAAGAATAAAAAATATTAACATGTAGGTGAAAAAGTAAGAAATGGGTAAAATGATAAATGTATAAATGATGTAATTTTATATAAATATTTAATTCAATAAAACATGATTTAAAAATTCAAATTTCCCTATATTTCTTACCTAATTCCATACTACCAAACAAATATAATTTTTCACTCTATTTCCTACCTACTTCTTATCAAATCATTTCTCACCTGTTCCTTTGTTTTTCCTTCAAATCATTCCCCTCCTCCAAACAAAGCATTTAGATTCCACCACTATACTCCCAATCCGCAATTCAAGTGTGCAAGCTAGAACTTGTCTCACTTTTTGGTCAAGCTGTCCAATCATCATGGCACAGATGAACTAATAAATCAAGATTGATGTCAATTGAATGTATTTTTTTCAGAATCTTCAAGCTTCTTCATGCAATTTATTTTTCTCTTGATATTTCCCTTTTAACATTCACTGGGTCACTGCCAAAAGCTTAGACACCTAAAATTTGAAGTCACTATCACTATTAAATGTCTTTGAATAGCCTTAACGCAGTTCCATTGGTGCACCAATTTTTTAATACTTTTGTGTTTTAGTAACAATTACAAATACTATTAATCTCCATCAAGTTTTAAGGATGATCTGCTGGTCTATCTACGTGGACCAGCACATGTGCAATTATTGATTTCTTTTCTTAGGACAAGTAAAACCTTAAAATACGGGCCTTTGTTCACAATGCACTTATTTGTTGCCCATGATCTTGAACCAAGCCTCAACACAGGGCTTGTGTGTAACAGCGAAATCATCTTTGCAAGAACATCCCAGCTCAATGGGAGTTGCAGTCCCCAAATCATAGTTATGATTGGTCGTGTCCATGCAGAGATGGCAATCCAGTAAATTCCTTTCCGCCATAGCCAAACGTACATTCACCTAAGGCACTAGATCCACCTCCACACAACACTCGACATAGAGGATCCTTCTCTCTTTCAGACCACACACAATCTCAAAACACTATTGTCACTGGCACTGACTGAGTTCCAGGACGCACAACCATACCATTGTCAGTGTCGACAATGAGAGATTTGTCTTCTGCAACCAACATTTTGGAAACACAAGTTGTGGATCTTTATATCATGACTTCAAGAGACAAATGATTAATATATAATATCCCCCAACAGTAAGAAGAAAAAGCAAGCAACTGGAATGGTTCTTGGTCGAGGAAGGGAGTGGCGAAATGATCAAGTGAACATGCAGAAGCTACTAACACTTCTGGAAATTAGTTTTTGGACATGTTACATACATTCTGGAAACTAATTTTTGAAACATTCAATCGTTAGTAAAAATATATTCTCAAAATTAATTATCCAGACGGGGTGTTTCTAGAGTTGAAAAATACCGAAATCGTGGAAGGGGATGCGTTGAATAATTAGTGAGATTGCATTTAGCAATTGATAGTAACAATCTGGTATAAAATTAGACCCAGTAATAAGGGGTTGGTTAGGGGAGTGAATGAAACTCAGACCGCCTAACCTATTCCATATAAAACTAATCAGTAATCACATACACCTCCATCTGAATTTTCCAAGTTCCAACAACACCAACAATATTAACAAACCAAAAGAATAAAAGAAAAAAAAAAAAAACTAGAAACAAAAATTAGAAAAGATGGTACCAACCTCAGCTTTGGGATTGTGAAGAAGGACACGGTCCTGGGAGAATCCAGCGGAATTTAAAAAGTCTTGAAATGGTTTCTTCGAGAAAAGCATGCACAACGTCAACAACCTGTTGAGCTCTTGTAACTCCGCTACAACTTCGGGGCCCTTTAGCTCCACGCAACCGCTTCCACCATACACACTCGCAACCGCCAAATCACCCTGCAAGTACCGTGTGGTGTCCATTTTGAAACCCTAAAATCGAAACTGACGATAAGAAACTAGGAAACTGACACTACCTGTCTCCGCATAAAGTAATTGACGCCGAAGGCCAAGTCGGCGATTGGCCATTTGCCGAGAGTCTCGGAGTAAGTGAACCTCAGCGTCTCCGACAACATGGAAATCGATTCGAACACATTCGCCGGCGCCTGAGCTGGGTTCACCCTCCACGTCGAGGACCTGGACCACTCCTCTTCGACCTTCCTCCTCCGGCTGAAGATGAGGTACAGCATGGCCGCCGCTCCGGCAGCGGTGGCCATTGCTCCTGCGGTCATTGAATGGGCAGAGAGGAGAATGTGCGAAGGGAGGTTGGGGAAAATGGAACATAATTAAGTAAGGGCTTGGAATCGGGTTGGAGTGCGTGTAACTGGTTTGAGAATATGCCTTTCTGAGAAGAAGAAGTTCAGTTCAGTTGGATTATGATTTATGCCCTCAACTTTTCTCTTTCATTGCTTTTCATTTCTCCACCTTTCTCTCTCCTCGCTGCTCTCTCAACTCTCACCCTCCTGCAAACCTCCATTATACCCTGCTTCAGAGAGGGGAGGAATTCAAACCTTCAAGAAGAAAAGGTTCACAATTAATATTTTATCAATTCACATGTGTAAATCAAATTATTATAAAATTGAATAATAATTTAAATATATTTATAATTATCTTGAAATTAATTTATACAGATTGAAAATAAAATAAAAATGTAATATGATTTTGTTTCAAGACAACAATTAAAATCAAAATGCAGTAAAATTAATGAGTGTTCAGGAAAGCAAAGAAAATTGACGACAGTTTTATACTATATATTAAGAATTAAGAATGTGTACATTCAGTCATAAAAAAATGTTTAAATTCATATTCATATGCTTTTGCAATTATATAAATAGAAAAAAGAAAAAGAAGAATACTAACACCCAATTTCATGTACATTATCAATATACATAAGTAATATTTACATTGCCACTTGAAAAATTGAACAACAAAATTTTTATTAAACAATTAGCAGCACAAAATTTCCGTTGATCAAATCAAAGAGAATATCTTCCAATATTTTTATAGTCCTTTTAACGAAGACAATTTTTTTTAAGTAAACCTACGATTTATTCGCTTTTCATCGAAAGTGCAGTCGAAGGGAATAAATAAATATACACAGATAGTAATTGTTATAATTAATATAAAATAATAACTATCTTAATTAAAATATTTATATACTTTTATAAAAATAATTACTACCATTATTTATATTATATATGTTGTAATCAGCTAATTAATATAAGTATATATTATATATTCTTATGATATGATCATTAATCAATAATAAATAATATAAGATAATTTTGAGGAAAACATCACAAAAGATATTAATATAATCTATATATTGATTATAATTATAACTTTAATTCTTATTGAATTATTGATAATGGATAATTTTAGGAAAATATTTCACAAAATATATTTGTAAAAGTCGTTTAATCTTTATATTAATTCCTATTTTATAAATAATATATATATTTATATATATATATATATATATATATTAATTCTTACTCTATATAAGAGGCAATTGATGGTGTCACAGGTTCTTTAAAAAAAATATTGATCATTACATGCTAACAATGTCTAGCACTTGATAATGGATGTATTTATAACTAAATTCCTCCCTAATTAGGAGTCTATCCCTTCGATTTTTTTTCAAGTCATTCTTTGACGATTCTTGTTTGATAAAGGGTAAATAGAGAAAAAGGTAAAAAGAGAAAAGATAAGTATAGAAAAGTTAAAAATTTTGTATTGTTTGATAAAGAAAAAAATGTGAAGAACTATAATGAAAATAGGAAGGACTCAGATAATTAATTAATTAATTAATTAGAAAAAACTTATCCTCTCACGTGAATATGAGGGGAAGTGCAAAAAAAAAAGTGAAAAGTTAATGGGAGAAGAGAGCATGGGTAAAGAAACATAAGTTTATAATGTAACATTTGGAGTTAAATAATTTTGTCAAGGTATTGTTAGTGGGAAAAGGTTAGATGAGATTCTAAGTATGCTTATTCTCCTTCTTCTCTTCTTGTAGACTTTTTAGCACTTTGAGCTTGGGTGTTGGTGGTTGGTGTTTTCTTTCGTGATTTGCATTGTGTAGAAATCACAATCATGTTGGTCACGTCTTCATAACACCAAGCGCAATTGCAACCAGAGTGTTTTATCTCAATCATGTTGGACATAAGATTGATGGCATCATGAGGAGAGAGACTTGTCTCGGGTTGAGATAATGTCAAATGTAATTTGAATGGTGTCTAGCATGAAAGTGTAGAAAGTCTCTGACTTCGTGATGTTGAACATTGTTGAGGTGACATCAAGAGTGAGTCAAGTAGAGACTTTATCTAATATGAGATCAGGCGAGGATTTTGTCATGTTAGGTGCAAGGTCCTAGGGGATCTTCACCTCAATCACACCGGGCGCGATTTGGATGGCGTCAAACATGAGCAAGACAGAGAGCTTCCTACCTTGATGGCACCAGACGCAAGGTATATATTAAGTCGGGTGCATGATGCCTGGATTATATGTTGATGTTTTTGGTGAATTTATGTGATGAATATGAGTAGATTATGTTATTCGATTGCACGTTGTATGGTGTATGATGATAGTTCTGCATATGTTGATTGGATATGACATATGTAGATATTTATATGGTGTTGGATGACGATGAGTATGTATAATGTATATATGTATATGATTTTGGAGAGCATTGATATGTCATGAATGGATGATGTTGTTCATCTCTATATGTATTGAATTGACGTGACAAATATAGATGATGTATGATAATGTGTGAATGCTGAGAATGTAATATGGCATTAAGACATGTTGGCTAACTTAGAACTTGAGAAGAATAATTGTTTTTGAAAACTAAAGATTTCACATAGTGAACCTTGGATTGGTGTTTGAGTAGGCCACTGTCGAAAAATCCTCTTAAAGTAGGTGTGTCTCTTAAAGTGGATTTTGAGGTATATTGATGTATCCTCTAGGTCCTTAATAAGCGGTTGAATAACGTAGGAGGTCAACGGTCACAACCCTTAACCAAGTACCTGAAAAGGTTGTGTGGTTCCTTGAGGATAATTAGTGAGCGAATTTCATGAGACTTAGTAATGCATATTAAAGTCATGGTAAACTTATACCCAACTATACTATTCCAATGATGAAATTAGATTTTCCTAATGTAAGTGACAAAACTCGAAAAACTAGAGGAAAAATTGATATCCCATTTTGCTATGATCAAGCTAACATTTCGAGTGCAAAAATGATTGGGTTGATTTGATAGGGTGGAATTACTTAGATTACTTATGTTAGGAGATCTTCCAGGAAGAATATGTGACAATACATTATTTTTAAACTCTAACTTACCTTTATGTTTCCATTATAATTTGGACCGTGATAATTATATATTGTATGAGAGCATATTAGGGTTAGACTTGAGAAACTGTTACTGGCAAGTAGTGTAATCTTTTATTGATGATGGTACTATTATGTATAATTATATCGAGATCTACTCAACTAATTTGGTCCCTGTGAATTTTCATTTATAGAACACAAATTTGCATGGGTTAACTAATTTGGTCTTCGTGGATTTTTCTTTATTTATAGTATAAATATATATTATATATATAATAGTTATAATAAATGTTAAATTTCAAAAAGAATAAATCAACATTTTTATGTACTTAATTTTTTTATTCAGCCGTCCTACGCAGGACCTACGCTGATAATATAAGTATGTAACGGATAGCATAGCAGCTTCATTTTGAATTCAGAAACTTGTATTGAGTCATGTTTACGCAAAAATGAAGTACTTTTTTTTGTCCAGAAAATGTAGCACTGGAATGGCAGAATAAATACGTTCAACGAAGACCTAGGTGCTTAACTTTTCTTTTCTCTTTTCCAAAGGTGTTCAAAGCAATATGCTATTCTTGTCATTGGATTAAATGGAATTCGCCATGCTTTAAACTTGGGTGGTAGAAAATTTCCTCATGAACAGTGCCCTATGCATAACATAACATAATTAAACAAATAAAAATTTGCATAGACTCCGATTTCCACCCTGTCTCACAATTTTTTTGTGTTGGGTTTTGAATTTCAGTACATTATTGACCTCTATGTTGGGATACGAGAGCTTCAAAATAATACTGTATAATAAATAAATTTAGTACCATCTTACCCTACTGGAATTTGTCCCCATGCAAACCAAAGCCTATATCTTAGATGCCGTTGCTAAACTCAAAACAAAATTTCAGTTACCAATGTCTTAAGGAATAGTACATAGAATTATTTGATTCAATTTTTTTTACTACTTTGTATGAAGGAAATATTTTATAAAGTGCTTCAATAATTGAAAAGTACAAAACAAATATGTTCCTTGAATCGAATCCATAGTCTGCTCCAACTAACGATTGGTGATGGGAAATTGGAAAAGGCATCAAGTGGTTTGAGGATTGAGGCCAAAAGAAACTTGAAGCAGGACAAACTAACTTTCCTCTAAAAGGCACCGCACCAATGTTTGTTACATTTTCACCTAAGGCTCAACTAATACATATCATAACGAAGAAGACGTTTTCACTGCTCTTACAAACCAAAAAACTGCAATTAATACACTAAATTGTGTATTATTTAGTAAATATAATTAATTCCAAGGGTTAAAAACCTTCACTGTAACATGTTAATTTGTGCTTTCACAACTTGTTTTAATAATATATATATATATATATATCAACTCTAGCAGGTAATTTCCATGGAGATGCATTGTACATGGCTCCCATGATGAATTATGAGAAGAAGATGAAAAAATGATAAGTTATTTTGAACAAAGGGACACAAGGTAGGGACCTATAAGATGATTTGATGAATTTTTTAACCTACCCTTAGCACCTTTATATGCCTAGCTTCAACCGAGCATTATATGAGTGGGTCACCCTATTAGAACGCTCCCATCCCATCTTCACGGGTAATTTCTCGTTGAATTTAAGGGCATAGTACCAAAATAATATTGCAATCTACCTACCACAACCACAGTTGCAGCATAACATAACCCTCCAAACCTCTCCCAAAGCCCTTGGCCCCTTCATGTATTTTCCACAACTAATTGTCACGTTTCATCTGCACAAGTGTTACGGGGTGCTTCCTTTTCATAAATGTTTTTGTGAGTTTTAGTTTTCCACATTACACTGACATACCTCACAAAATAAAAGCTATACTTGAAACAGATGATGAAGGATAAATCATTAAAACTGGCCAGAAAAAATAACTGGTAAATGGCTTAATCAAATTACACATCTGATTAGTGTGTGTTTAAAGGAAAGTTTGTACATTCCAAAGTCGTAAATGGATAAGCAACCACCTTGTGTCATTGGAGATAATGGTATGTTTAGGAATAAGTTACATTCAATGCAACTTTTATTTAATTTAATAGGACAAAATTAATTCTATGTTTTGTATATTAGAATGAGTGAGTCTATTGAATATCTTTTAAATGATAAACCAAACACACGTTGATGTAGGTTGGTTTAAACATGTAAATTTTTTTTCCAAACACATTCTTGATCATTCTTTCAAAGTACTTTAGATAACTACCCTAAAGTCCTTAACAATTGTCACAGTTGCTGCAAAAAGGAGTTTCTATTTTCATCCAAACATGTTACTAAGTTGTTAAATGTTGCAACAAATAACAGGAGGCGGTAGAGAACGGCAACAACAACTTAGTTAATCCAACTAACATGGAAGTAATATAACACCATTATATTATTTGAATTTAAATTTAAAGATGAAAAGAAAAATAAAAACGTAAGGGCTACATGTCCCTCCCTAAGTCCTCTCAATGAGTGGCATTTGGAGAGATTAACGTTAACCTCTCAAGTGATCTAGTGTCAAATATTTCCTCCGCAAAGGTTGCTATTTTTTGTTAACCGCTACATCTCTGGTTATTACTGCCCTCCGAAAACCAACAAAAAGAAAAGCACCTTGCACTATTTGTAGCCCTATTTCGCGTTTTGTCCTTCACTTGCAATCATATCAACTCTCCAATGGGGAGAATGGGACAAGAATCAGACTCCAAAGCCAAGTTAGTGTTAGAGATTTGCTCCATTTCCACGCGTTCCGTGGTGTGTGTTCATACACTTTTCTCAAGATCAGCCAATGCGATTTTTGTTGACTGGTATTGCATTCTTGGAGTAAGTTCTTTAACCTTTCTTGTTGAAGCAAAACGTTTATGGGTTCCTTTTAATGATGCCGTATTGGGTTCTCAATTCTCATAGGTGGAAGAAAATGCAGGGGTGAACGCCATTCGCAAACGCTACCACAAACTTGGTAGGTTTAACTTGTTCTGTGGCTATGTGAAACCTGCATTCTCTCTCTCTTTTTCATGAATAATGAGCAGCTTTTTTTTCTTTTTTGCTTCTGTAGCCTTACAAGTTCACCCAGATAAGAATAAACACCCCAAGGCTGAAATTGCTTTCAAGCTCGTTTCTGAGGTATTTTTGTTATGTTTTCTGATATAATATATCAAATATCAAAGAACCAATGAACGTTTATTCTTTGGTGGTTCTAAACTTTGAAGGTGTGTTATCAACACCCCATGTAAGCATATACCATAAATTCCTACCCAATTATGGGTGAAGTGGAATACAATCTCAACATCTCATCTACTGCACCCCGTTTTCTTGTAGGCATATGCATGTCTATCTAATGCAGAAAAGAGAGAAGCCTTTGACTCGGAGAGATGCAAGCATTTCTGCTTCGAGTGCAAAAGAATTCCGTATTCATCTAGAAATGTCCCTGGAAATTCAAGTGGGTCAGGTTTTAAGGCATGGAACATCATAACCAGATCAAGATCTTTCAAACTTTGGAGAAATATTAGGGACATGAGGGAAAGATTCATGGACGAGGCTAAGGTTATAGAAAACTGTTTGCGAACAAATTCAATGTCGAGGAAAGAATCCCCACACTACAACTCAGTTGGCTTTCTAAATAGAAGCAAGTCACTGCAAAGATTCGAGAAAGAAACCCCAGTTTTCAATCCATCGGACTACTTGTACCAAGGCTACCCTCACCTGAGGGGCTATAATTACAAGAATTCTTCGACATTTTGGTACTTGCAGAGAAATAGTATGCTTCACAATGGAAGGGGAGGAGCGCAGCATGCCTCTCCAGTTTTTGAGGTCAAATCGAGGAGTTTGTTTACTAGCAGATTCGCTTTTGTCCCATCAAAATGTTAGCTCGAAACAATTTTTTAACGCAATGTGTTTGTCAGCTTCTCGCTTGTTTAAAGGATTAACTGCATTTCATTATGAAATTGTCATGTGATATATATGATTCATTTAGAACCTCTGGGCGTTAAAAATGCATTGACGAATTAAAAATTACGAGCAACAACGCTTGAAAAATCAAATTAATCCGTCAAACACAATAAATGCCATACATGGTACATTACTCCCTGTGTTGCAAAATTGCTGCATTTTAAATATGCAAAATTACACATAATAATCGATAAACTTGCACTATTTCTTTTGGTAGTCAAAATTACAACAGTAGCTTCCTCGATCAAATTTAGTTTGTGTCTTTTAACTCGTTTTCTACAAATCCAAAAAAGAAGCTTGTTACTGCATCCGCTTCATAACTCAGCTACTGTTATCGTGCGCCAAACCCGTCCCTTCGAGATATAGTTTCCTTCTCCATACACGGCAATTATTGGCTTGCTTGTTCTTTAGGCTTTGGGTTCTTGAGAATTCCATTATCAATTAAAGGCTGTAGCTCTTTTTTTACAAGTTTTTGTACATTCAGATCTGGTGATTCCAAAAATGCAGAAATAACCTTACAGCTGCAATCACATTGACAAGACAAAGAATACGTCACAAATCGGTCCTTTGCACCCTTATTTCATTGGAAAATAATCTGAAGAGTAAATGAAACCTACCTGTGGCCATGCGCCCATAACTCGCTTTTCCCTTTTAAAGCTTTTTCCCACAAGGCGGAAGCAAAGCTGGGGCAATCCAAAATCAGTTTTCTAATGGTCCGACTTGAATGGAAATTTTCGAGGACATGCTCTTCTTCTGAATCTTCTGATTTAGGCATTGCTACGAGAGAAGCTACTGCATTGTGGAGAGAATTTATCTTATCATCCAATGTTGGGTGCATTATGCCATCAGAACCCCCCGTTGCAACCTGCATGTGCAATTGAATTTACCAAAAAGGCAATGCTTGGAAACAAATTTATAGAATTTGTGAAATTATAATATCAATATCATCCTTACCTCATACAAGACCTCTTTACCAAAATTTGACCGTATCAGTTCTCCCACGCTCTCAATACATACATCAAGAAGACTCTGCATAGCAAGTTACAATCAAACAGTATTTTCAGCGCAACTTCATAATTCACAATTAATTGACCTGGTCCCAGATTTGCATATCATCAAAATCAATACTACCTAAACGTGTTTTCAAGGTTGTGGCATGGGAGTTAAGAAAAACACTTAAGTTCCTATTTTATTAAAATATTAATGACATATACAACAACAAAGCTGACACTTAAAAAGGATCGAAAGTAATATGATTCTGTGAACACTATTTAAATTGCTGGATATAATCGATGAATGCAATTAACAAATATTCATTTATCACATGATAAAAGGCATTTAGAGTCCTCAAGGGTATTAGTGTATTAACCTAGGAAATAGACTCCACTAAATCAATCAAGAATTTCTTGTATGGATGATAGGCTAAACCCATGTCATTCTCTTCATTCTTCAATAAGAAAATTTTTCATTCTCTAAATTCTCCCTAACAGATTGATTTCTCTCATTAAATATCTCCACCCTCTAAATTCAGCAGAAATATGTGAACAAACTTTCTTTTATCAGAATTAAATCACGAACAAAAGATTAAGGAAAGGAGTTAAACATCAGTTAAAAACACAAGTGAAACATTAACAAAATTAGAATAAAAGCTAAATCAACCCACATCTGCAAGTCCACTCTTGATCAATAGCTCCTGCCTTCTAACAAATGGGTCTTTTTTCCCACTCTCAGCTAGGTCAGAATCATCTATAGAAGTTTTATCTTTATTAACTTCATCCACAGCTACCTCAATGTCTTCCTTGGATTCCTTGTCACCAAGTGAAACATTTGAAGTTTCTGTCAGAGAGCTTGCTTCTGACTGATCCTGACAGAATCAAAATAGTTACTATATTGCTGCTTCAAAGTACCACAAAAACAGAAAAGATAGATTCAAAAATAACCTTGAGAGATAGAGAAGGTATAGATAAACTCAGGGAAGCAAGATCATCAGGACTGAAATAGCGTGAACTATTAGGATGTAATAATTGGAGTAAGGGTCGCCTTCCATTCTGTAAAATTCAGAAGTAAACAACAGAACTTAGAAACTTACAACCAGAAAACATAATAAATACACATCATAAGAAAATATAAAACAAATAATCTTTCTATATTGTTTACAGGCTGAGTTCAAAGGTGCTAGGGTGGAAAAAGACTTGCAAAGAATACAAACTGCTCAGATGCATTGTGCATACAAAAGATTTCTAAGAATATTTTTATTAATAGATGAAAACAATAGACTTCTCTTCTATAATGCTTGCAAACATCATATGTAAAGAATGGTAGGAGAAACCTTATCCAGAACAAGCTCCTTTAGAGTTGTCTGAAGCTCACGAATGATAACCTGCAAGAGGAATGCTTTAATGCTTAAAATGAAGAACAAATTTCATTATATACAATATAGAAATAATGGTTATTCACGAGAAAATCACAATCAAAACAAAACGAAACAAACCTTTGTTATCAGTTTTGTGTCATCAACAACAGAAAGGATGCAAACCAGCACCTGAAATTTAATTATAAAAATTGGATATTCATACTAAAATCTGACTGGATAAGTGTGAGGCACAACAAAACCTTACAAAGGCTGGGCAACCAATAACATAGCCTGAGCAAATTACATACCATGCACCCATATTGATGATAAGCTGTTTTGTCTATGTGCCCCTTCAATCCTTTGATAATCTTCTTTCTTTCCTAAGAATGGAATGTGAAGAACAAATCATATATTGCATTCAATCATCTTGAGTACTCTAAACATTTTCATTGGTAAGAAAAAAGTTGCGAGACACACCTTGGCATTCCCATATTTTACACAAAAAATTCCAATTTTAGCTCCATCCCTCGTACCAATCATTCTAACAATGAGTGGACTTGATAATTGTTGGATTATATCTGTGACAGAAGACTTTAAAAAAAACCTTATTTAGATAACAGAAGCTATTGCCCATGCTGAAATTTGTTGCCGTAATAAAAGGCATGAAGAAATATTGGGGTAATAGGAGAGAAGTACCTTATCAGCAATGCTAAAATATTCCAGCAAGACTCTGTGTAAGATAGAGTGGTCAACTATCCCTTTCTCTAAAATTGGCTGAATCACTGATGTCATATGTCGCAAAACTGAACCTTTCTGTAGACCCAACTTGGACATTACATCTAATAATCTGGCATCCAATTAAAAGCTAAGGAAAATCTCCAGCAAGAGGGAAAAAACACCATATTGAATATCTTAACACATCCAGTTAAGATAAGTAAAATTATGAAATTAACATCAATTCAGGGATAGAAGAACAATTATTGCAATTTCCAGTTTCATAAAATAAAATTATCAATACAAATTAATATCAGGCAATTACCCATCTACAAGTATATAAATGAAAGTTAAGTTCAAAGAACTAATGTACTATGTTTCCTAATGTATTTCAAATTGAACTTAATTATGTAATCTATCTATCAGACTGTTAAAACCATGGTATGATGGCATATTCTTCAGTGTACTTACATATAAAGTAGTGGAATATCAAGCAAAAAGTCAAAAAACTAATTAACTATATATTGCATAAATTTTGCTTCCCAGTTTCTATAACCCCTGACCCCTCCCAAAAGTTCCCGAAAGGCATTCAAATATAGGCAGGTCCCAAAGAAATTAAAAAAGTGGGAACAGAAGTTTAATCTTTCCTTTCTATGTAAATTTTGCAGAGGTTGGATATGTCCTTTTGCACTCTCCCTCTCTCCATGAAAACAGTTACATATTTCAAATTCCAGTAACTATTTTCTAAACAATTTTAAATATGTAACAACTTATAGTGATTTAGAATTGTAGATTACCAACATTATCCAAGATGCTAAAACATAATTCCTAACAGCTGATTCTTTACCTGCTCTCTTTCAATGAGACTAGATCCTTAAACAACTGAAGTTCCGCGGAGTATAATTCCGAAAGCAGTTCTTGCTTTTGTGCAGCATTTGCTAATTCATAAGCATGCTCAACAACTGCATAACATTTAGACACACAAAACTTATTGTAGGGAAGTTAACTTTGGCTACAAGCTGACATTCAAATTATTAACATTTAACAGTTTTATATCGGTGCATGAAAATCAGCAGAAACTTAGCAAGAAGAGTGTTATTGAATCAATCCAGATCCAAATATGCAGCTAGACAGGCACATACTCAAAAAAAAAGTGACAAATTTTCCTCTAATGAACCATTAAAATCTTTGAATTATGTCTGAAGTAAACCATGAACAACCACAAGCAAAATACTACCTAACCCTAAGTTACATACCAACTGATCCAACCATATGGCGAAGAAGAGGAGCAACATGTCCATGAAGAGTGGAGATAAAGCCTGCTAGCTGTTTCTTTGAGGCTGAAAATGGATAATACTGATTACAAGAAAGAACACGTGACGCGACAAATAACAATGTATATTTCAATAGACTATTACCATTGTCGAGCATCTTTTTCACTAAGTGAACAGCATAAGCATTGTATGCCAGACTTAGAAAATGTGGTCGAAGCTCTTCAAATACTGCATCTCTTTCGACTTGTGAACAATGCTTGACACATGTCTTTAAATTAAAACAAAAAGAATGCAAAAGAATTAAACTGCAAGAACCTCTAAAAGGATGTGAAATTAAAAATTACAACAAATATGTATCAAAAACAAATATACCTGAAGAACACGAGATGAGATGTGAGACCCTGCAATCTCCGCAATCTTCCCCTTCATCTTTTGCAGCGCTTCTGTCACTAACCTTCAATTATATAAAAGTCCAAAGCCATAAGGAGAATAAAAAAACAAAAGGCTTAGGTTGCCATCTATGAAATATCAGTCCCTAATATCTTTCTTATAGGAACATACCTAGCTCTGTCCTCTTTAGCAATCTCATGACGTCTCATCTTTTCCCATAGACGTGCAAGCTCCTGTTTATAATTAACCAAAAATAAATTAAAATTAAATAACACCTCAT